TATTATGAGCTCCTTCAGTTTTGGAGCCATTTGTTGGACCGAGAGTGGTGATGAAAGTCTCCCATGAATTAAGGAGAGAGTTCATCATATGAACCACTTGCATTGGTTGTAAAGGTCGCATGCCGATAGCCTCCATCTCTCGAATAAGTGCACAAAAGAGATGCACATGATCCGATATCTTCGCTCCTTTGTCCATCTTTAATTCATTGTATTTCTTCATGGCCATTGCTTGCCTCATAAGAGTTGGATCTGTGTATTCTTTCTCGAGCCTTTCGTACATGCTTATTGTAGTTTTCATTGACTCATACTCATATGCATATGAGTCAATCATTGAGCATTAAGGCTGAGAATTGACCCGATTCGGATTTGAAACTTGGATTTTGGGTCCTATTCGGATTCAGGTATGGATCCAAGATTTGGACCCAAATTTCGGATCCGAATCCTAAAGTTGGATTCGAATTGAAATTCGGATCGGATCTTGAGGCAGGTGGATCTAATCCAAATCCGACCCGGTTTTAAAATAATATTTTATTGTTCATATATTCATTATATTACATTTATAATATATATATAAATATAAAAATATATATATATATATATATAGAAGATGCTAGGGTGAGCCCACTAGCTCACTTAATAGTATAAGCCTAATGGCCCAGATTGAATCTGGGCAGATCTGATGGCCGAGAGTGTTTGAATTCTAATTTTTTTTTACAAATCTAAATCACTTGAAATTTTAGGTGAATATTCTTCTCATCAAGCCGCACCTAATAAAAATATAAAAAAAATAATCTGTAAAATTAAAAATGACCAAAATACCCTCAAAAATTTATGGGGGGTATTTTGGTCATTTTTTTCATATAAAAATGTTGTTTTAATATTTTTTGAATATTCATCTATTTTTTATCAACACACATCTAAAATTTCGAGTGATTTGGATTTGTAGAAAAAAAATTAAAATTCAAACACTATCGGGCATTCGTGATTGTTAGATCGGTCCAGATTCAATTTGGGCCATTGGGCTCATTTTTTCTTGTGAGTCCATTGGCTCACAGAAGCCTTTTCCATATATATATATATATATATATATATATATAATACTTTTATAATTTAATACCTTATCCCTGCTGTTCTTTTAACTTTGTAGAACTAATCCCCACCTTTGCATTTGAGAACCCATAATCTCCTCTCATATTCTCTCTCTCACTATCGAAATCAAAATTAGGGGTTCTAAGACTGTAAACCCATCTCTCTAGAAATTGCTATGTTCCTCTCTTTAAAACTAGCCTCCCTCTCTCTCTCGACATTGTTCTCTCTAGGAGTAGTCTCTCTCTCTAATGGACGGGGGTGGGCCTAGAAGGTTAAAAAGCTGCAGCAGTTGCTCTCTGCTTTTGTAGAAAAGGCCTAGATGCCATCAGACGTGCTGGTGGTGGGTTTGGATTTGCAGAGATGTAGATATGGGGGAAATGGGTGAAGAGGTAGAGAAAGAAACAAATTTCAAGAGAGGAAAAGAAAGAGGAGGTGGGGCACAAGATTTCACTAGAAAAGAGAGAGCTGGGGGCTGGTGTTTGTTTTGTCGAAGTCCTCAGCCTGTGTGATTTAGATTTGTAACAAGTGAGCGAAAATGGCTGTGAGTCTCACCCCCACTTGCATTCATTGTAGGAAAGGGTTGTGGATTAAGAAAGAAGCCTAGATTCTCAATCTTTTATATATGAGATTTTTGGACCCTCCCTCTCTCTCTCTCTCTCTCTCTCTCTCTCTCTCTCTTCTCTCTCTCTCCTCGATTTTGGTTGTTTTATAGGAAGATCTTAGGACGTCAGTTCAATTTCTTTTTGTTATAAGTTCGAGGGATATTTCATGGTGATCTAAGAAGCGATGCTTGCAGTTTTTTATTCATTTCTCAAGTTGGATCCTAGATTGTAACGACTGCGTATTTGATCCATTCTTAGCCCTCAATCCTCGGCTGTAATAGTGAGTGAGTCGATTTTCATTTGTTCATGTGATTCAATCTAGAGAGAGAAAGAGAGAGAGATTTGGGTTGATCAGAAGAAGAGAGAATCTTGAGGTGGGTTTATATTTCTAAATGTTATATAATAGTAGGGAGAGAAATCCTAAAGCGATTGAATCTAGTGGTATTAGAGAAAAATATTAAAGACAGTAAGAAACCTAATCCGGATCCGGATCCTAGATTTGGATCCGGATCCAAATATTTAAGATCTGATCGGATCTTGATCTGGATCCAATGTAACTATTCAGATTCGGATTCAGATCTGAGTGGATCTGAACCCGATCCGAAAAAATCTCACCCCTATTGAGCATAGTAGGATATGCTTAGCATGCATATCTCTACGTTTCCAAGAAGCATATGCATCTTTTGTTTCTTATCTTGAATTGCTTCTTGGATGGCGATGGCGATCCTTGGATAGTACTCCATCCAAACCCTCCTCAAGAAGCACATACCCTATCTTGCACTTCCATGAGGAGTAGTTCAATCCTTCGAACTTTTTGGTTTTTAGGATCTCAAAGATGACGGTGTGGGCAGCCATATTTCTTTTCCCAAAGGCTCAATATAATACTTAAAGAAAGAAAGAAAAAAATCCTATGGGCAGCAAGAAACCCTTGCTCTGATACCAATGAAAGTAGGACCCTGTGATCTAGCACAGTATATATAATTTATAATTTTTATTTTTTACACCGACTATACCATTTACAATGGTCTAATTACAATAAATTCAACTCAAAAGAAAAGAATAAATAAATAAATCGGTTCTCACTTGCTACCTCTAATTACAACTTTCTTTTCTTAAAGGACAAAAGATAATATAAAGCTATGGGAAAAAGAAATTATAAGAAATATATGGACTGCAAAAATATAAAATAAAGATGGCGGAAGATTATCTCAACCGGACTTAGAACACCCCACACCAGGTCTCCTTCCTCTAATGTCGCATGGGATCAATGAACTTTTTCGGATCTTCTAAATGTGGGAAAGCTCTAGCTAAACCCCTTCACATTGTATGAGAGCAAGAAACTATATGGGTCAAGCCTAAGCCTCAATGTCTTAGGCAATATTTCATGAGTGGGGCGTGCCTACCTTTTTGGTCCCTTATGGGGGGCATGCCCCTTATCTCTCTAATTAGAGAGATCAGACCTTGGAGAGACAGAAGAATATCCCTAGAGAACATAGAGAGAGAGAATAATTGTGTAGAGAATGAGAGGTGAGGAGACCTCTATTTATAGTCTTTTTAAAGGGAAAGGTTTTCCTTGGAGATAACAATTCTATGGGTTGATCTAGTCCTATAGATCTTAGGAGACCTATAGGGTGAGAGATCTGAGTCATTCATTCTTTAGATTAGCCATCATGATTCAGAGGATGATGGAAGACCTTCAGTTTTTTAAACCCTTATCCCATCAAATAAAAGATAAGTAAAATATCATCTCTTTACTTAATTATAATTCTTTTAGGAGTTGAACTCCTTAAAGCATCTCTCTCTTAGAAATCCTAATCTCTTTAAGACACACAGAGCATATCGTGTTTTTTCAATTGACTTAGTCTACAAGTTTAACAACTGAAAACATATATCTTCAAAACATGATAAAAGAGGACTTCCCTCTTTAAGTGGGGCGTGCCACCTATGTAACCGTGGGTGGGCCCCCCCACGCAAATCCAAAAGAGATAATGGGGGGCCCCCATGGGCCCGTCATGCATATTTGATATTGTTTAAAAAATATATTTCAATTTTTTAATTCTATACATTCATTTTGTAAAACTAAAATATCCAAATATATAAAAACCAAATAATTGTGACAGAAATTAGATCCTTTGTGTTTTGAAATTAATAATTCTAAAGCACTTCATCTTCTACTGTGGATTATAATCCACACTTGCTTTCTCAAATTGACCCAGTAGTTCTCATGACCCACGTACCGCTGCAGGGGTTCATGATTGAGCTACCAAAGTCAGCCAATAGGCAAGGCGACATAATCCCAGTCTATGGATAACAGTTCCCCCCTAGAGACGAACCCGTGGTCAGCAAGACCAGCTCTATAGTACATAGGGGTAATCTCTTGCACATATGCATGCTGCACCCTCAATAGTATCTTGCTTGGTCGCTACGGCTATCATACGCACATGCTGTGTGATGATTCAGTGATGAGGCTTTGGCCCTGGTCTCTAGAGGCCAACCATCACACACCAGTGTCACATAGTCCCTTGACTCACTCCCTTGGGAAACTCCGACCTCATCAAGGGATAACCTATAAACCCTCATCGGTTTTATTCCATGCCTAGGTAATTGAGGTTTTCCAACTCGACTGGCCTAGCACGTCAAGCTTAGTCTAAGTATCAAGAATTAGCATTTGCCTATCATGGTCCACAAAGGACCACACTCCCACTAAGCTTATGTTCCACTATATTAAATGTTTGATCACAAGCTCTTATAAGGCCTTTAATGGCCACAGAAACCCAACATGCTAGCTCCCCATGTGCTAGGGAGTCTGCCTGGAATTCCCTATTGGATTTTTAGTTTTGTATTTAATTATGGAGGAAAGTTCTCATAAGGCCTTTAATGGCTACAGAAACCCAACACTCTAGCTCCCCATATGCCAGGGAGTTTGCCTGGAATTCCCTATTGGCTTTTTAGTTTGTATTTAATTATGGAGGAAAGTTCCTTTTGCCTATGACGTTGATTGTATTCATGCTTTGTTACTGACACTGTTGATCTTCTGATCTACTAGAAAGTGTTGACATACTGGACTGACCATACTCCACTCTCAGCTTTATATTTTGCCTGAGATGGCAACTGTCTTTGCTTGTTGAGAGGCTCTGCTTTTTATTTAATAAGACTTTGGATCCAAGGATTAATCATAAGGATCTGAAATTTCTCTACATTGCTTGTCTCTCCTTCATTTGTATGTTTTCTGTTTTCAAAGACTGTCATGCTACAGCCAACCCACAGTAATACTAGAAATTTACAATACTCTTGTGGTTCTATTTTTAGGTGCATGAAGAGAGACACCTGAAGACATAGGGTGGCATCGTTGACTACTGACCTTTTAGAGGTCTCACAGGACACTCTCTGTGTTGTTTCCTTTTAAGCTTTTTGAATAAATGCAGAAGCTTACCACCAATAACTCAGACCTATGCTCTGGCCATCCTACATCTCCTTATACTGCTAAGAGTTCATCATGGTGGAACTCATCTGGAATACAAGTTCCTAAGGGGAAAAGGTGCATGACTTTGAACCTGGAAATGGATTCTTCACTTTCCCATCCTGGTTCTCTGAAGCACCTAGAAACCAGTTTACCTGAACAAGATTCATGTTCATCTCAATCTACTGGTCAATCTGAGGAAGCTGCTGGTGTGATTGGAGGGAGCGGTGGATTTCAAGGATCTTCAGCGCAACCTGGTATGCTTGAATAACTTGACACATGTAACTGAAGTAAAAAAAGCGTAAAACTTGTTGTTTCTTATCTATTTGTTCATCCTTTTTCTTTTTGTTTGTTTGTTTTGGTAGAAAAGGATGGGGGTTTAAGTCACTCCAGCATGGATTATTCAATTTAATTTTTGTAGTCGATGGATCTGGAGCACCTTGATGTTCTTAGTCATATCCCATCTCTTATTGGACTGATTTCCAAATCATCTAGAAATATAAATATGGCTGTTGATGAGCATATTGGTGTAGAAGCAGTTTGAGTTGTAGCTCGTACATGTCGAGTAGATTTTGGAAGGATTAATTCGAAAGAAAGTGGTCCTGGGAGGATTTTTTCTGTTCCTCAGTATTTTGGATTATATGCCAAGGATACATGGCCTTTTTGAGAGGAGCAATTGCATTTCTTCTCGCTTTTATCTACTACTATTTTACCATTATTTTGTGCAATATCTTTGGTGAAAAGATATGATTGTTGTTTACATTTATTGTCAAGTTTTTCTTCAATTATTGTGTCCTGATGGTTGTACGTGGAAAGAATGGGTTTTGTCCTTTTGGTAGGCAGAAAGGAACCTATTATGCTCCAAGTTTCAGATGTATTTTTCTGTTTCTGTTTTTCCTGAATATTCTTTTGGATGATCTTTATGGATATCTTTGCCTTTGAGCAGGTTATAACTAACATTTGATGTTCCTAGTTAGTAGGTATGTCAAATTTCAAAATGTTACATAGTTTTTTTCGTTTAAGCGAACAGATTGTTATTTAAGAGATATCTATTAATAAAATATATTTCTCCTGATGATTGACTTTAGACAGAAGGAAAATGTCAGTTTGGTACGTAAAAGAAACTTAAGATGCTACAAGTCTCAATTGTATTATTTTCTTTATTAATGGATTGTGCTTTTGGGGATTGTCTTGGATACTCTTTGCCATAGAGTGGTTCCAAATATGTGCTTTTAAGGAATTGGTGTATATCTTTTTTCTTTCAGTTTTTCTCCCTTTTCAACACTTGTTTGATGTTCTGAAGTTGTTTTATATGTCAAAATTTTGAAATGCTTCTTTGACATTTTGTGCTGATTGAGGGAGTGCTGACGTGTCTCAACTTTCCATGGAGAAGTACTTGGAATGTATGAAATATGGGGTGCGCCACCGCCTTTCCTTTTAAAAAAATTTAAAATATTAAAAAAAAAATTGTGCTGATTGTAAGATAGATCGAGACAACATAATTCTACTGCTCTGTTTTTCTTGCTCCCTGAATATTTTGGGGTTGTCAATTCCAACGTTTTCAGTAGATGATGAAACTGGTAGAAAAGGACTTCAAACTTTTATGAAAGCTGGTCTACCCGCCGGGCCAACTGAGTACTTTTCTCCTCTTCCACAGATGGAGTATGGCCACTCATTTGTAAGTCGAAGTGATTAAGTAGGAATATCAACTTACCTACATTGTTACTTGTATGTCATATGTATTACTCATGTGAATGTTTATCTGTTTGTTCTTAGACGCATGTGCCATGTCCCTATATGGCAGCATCTTACTTTGGTGGTGCGCTGGCTCCTTATGGCTCTCAGACTATGGTAAATTTCTTTTCGTCTGCCAATATCCTCTTGATGCGGTTTTCTTGTGATTTTGTATATAGGGTTTGTAATCTATGGTAGCATTTGGGTTTCAAATAGTTTGCTAGCACCTCCCGAGCTGTCCTATTTCAACAGTTGACGAGTGGGGTGTGTCATTCCTTCCCTCAAGGCTCAAAGCTTGTCAAATTATCGCTTTATTACATTGCATATTTGGTTGCTTGAAGATTAAATTATGTAATTCTTGATCTTGTGCTCTTGCATTACTTGTATGATCAGCTTACCTCACAAACACTAGGGTTGCAACAAACACGCATGCTACTGCCTTTGGATTGGACAGAAGAACCCGTTTATGTAAATGCAAAACAGTATCATGCCATCCTTAGACGGCGACAATCTCGGGCTAAGCTTGAGGCCCAGAACAAGCTTGTCAAGTCCCGGAAGGTACTCACTTTCCTCCCCTTACTATTATCTTTTTGAATCTTGCCTCCCTTTACCATCCAGAATGTTATTTTAATATAAACACGGTAAATTTCTAAGAATGAACTTAACAGATAAGTGCAAATAAAGTATACGAGAATAAAAGGCTGCCTATAGATAGAGAGAGAGAGAGAGAGAGAGAGACTTATCAACGTCTTCACTAAATTATCCTCTCCCCTCAACAGCCTTACCTCCATGAATCACGCCACCTCCATGCAATGAAGCGAGTACGTGGCCGTGGTGGTCGTTTCGTTAACACCAAGAACAATAATAAGTCTGAAGAAGCCAACATTTCTTCAGGGGCAGCTTCACTCCAAGCTGGAAGCTCCGCTTCCTCCGAGGTTTTGCAGCCTGAAAATGCAAATATAGGCCATGGAATCTCAGAAGTGAGCAGTTCATTGGTGGCCTACTTGCCTGAATCAGGTAACGGTCATGATAGCTTTGGTGAATTTTTCAGGCACTCTAATTTCAGGCTTTCTGTTTATGGGTCGGATTCAAAACAAAATTCGGCATGAGAATTGGGTGAGGATTCCGGCAAGAAGTGGCTGGAAACTGGCAATTCATCCTTGGCTGGTTGGTGTCATGTATTTTGTGTAACCCATCAAATGTGCTTTGGTTTTGGGTTGGAAAGGGCAAGTTAAGGTGGCTGGAACGGTTTGTTGGCGGGTTTTTTTTGCTTTCCCTGTGGATGATATTTATGGGATTTGCCACTCCATTTTGTCTGGGGCAACGCGGAAGCTGGTTTGGGCAGGTTTGTGGCCATGATCAGGGTATGTTGTGGGATTTTCTTAGATTTGGTTAGTAGATCAGAATATGTATAGATTTGAATTGAACTTCGAAAGCTGGATGGTTCTGCTTAATGCTCTCTCTCTCATTCTCTCTCTCTCTAACAAGTGTTTCTACCTTTTTGCTCTCTCTCTAACAAGTGTTTCTTTATGTTTGTCACCTTTCTTTGTTCTTTTAACTTGGTTTCTTTGATGGGTTGCTAGTTCTCCATGGAAACGAAAGAGGTTGTTTCTGGTGTTTTTTGTTGGCATGCTGGATCCTACAAGTTTCAGTAAGAGAAATTCAGATTTGGTTTTCCTTTGTCATTGGCCTAGAATTTTATTGAAATCGAGTGACTATTTTGATTGAGTGACTTCCTATACATTCCCAAGAGTTCAAACTCAACTTAGTAGGGTTCAGAGAGTAATGATTAAGGTTCATTACGCGAACTCTAACTCATTTTGTTACCAAAGGACAGTTGGACCCTCTCAGTTTCCCGAACCTCCTCTCTCACGCCTCACATGCGAGTAAGACGTGTGTGTGGCATGGACATAATAAATTGAAAGGTTAAGATGCAGAATTTTATTCATTTGTATGATTCTAAGTGTCCATGAATTGAATAAGGAAGCTGGGCTTCCTTCCACAAATGCAGATTTAGACAAGAATAAGAAAAAGAGCAAAATTAAGAGGGCCTGCTATTACTGAAGGCCATAGACAAGTAGTGCACCCACCCCAGCAATGCCCGCAACGAGGCCCACAATAACTCCAATGGGAGGCAGCCCACCTCCAATTGGCTTTCCTCTGTTCACATCATAGCCAGCAAACCGCTTCTTCGGTGCTCGGCATTGCGGGCACGCATATGTATCCGGCTGCAAAAAAGAGAAACAAAGGAAAAATTAGAAGACTAAACCTTGTGGGGTTATGAGAATCCCAAACAAAATATTAGTGTGAAGCTATGGAAATTAAGATAAATTTTGCAGCAAAACTTTGAATATTGAATTATGTATGTGTGACTTGGGGCGGATTTGTGGGTATCAAGTACTAGTCTATTTGGTTCTGAAGTATGCTATAGTGGTGTATGGTATGTCGCACAACCCAGGGTTAGCATGTGTTTCTGGTGATAAATGGTGGAGACCAACCATAGTGCAAAAATCATGGATGTTCACATAGATATGGTTAATCTCTACTGTTCATGATTGAGAAAGGATGGAAGCAGTCCCCTTTAGAGTTAACCATATGCCATATAATACGATACTCTCAGTCAATTTTAAAAACAAAAAAAGGATTACTGACCTGTTCCTCGAAAGGTTTCTGTAGAGTGTAAATGTACCCGCAGTCCAGGCAAATATGAGTAGCCCGTGCCTGCAAATTGACAATGAAAGCTTAAGAAAATCCACGAACGCTTATTCCACTTTTAAATTAAAACACAGGTTTGACAATGCTTTGCTAGATTTTGAAATAAAAAATAAATAAATATTAACATAAAAAAATCGGCAAAAAAGTACCTTTTGAGCCTCTGTGAGGGTCCGCCCAAACTGAGGAGGAGCTGGGCGCTTTGGCAATCTCTTCACATCTACTTCAACACCTCTTTGCCATGTGCCCCCCCCCCCCAAAAAAAGGAAGAAAATAAAGAAATAAGGTTGTACATTATGCAAAAATAAAGAAATAAGGTTGCACATTATACAAAGGAACAGAGGTATTTATGGTGTCCACAATAATGTCCACAAAAAGGTAAAAATAATTAAGATTTTCCTCTGTTGCAATCAATTTTGGGTAGAGATATCTCAGTCAATTTGTTGGGGCTAAGATGGAAATGTATGATAACCCCTAGTTGAGCTCTTACCTGGTTTACTGTTACTAACACCAAGGCTTATTCAAGGGGTTGATGGATGGTGAAGATCACCCTTCACATGCAGTTTGCATGTAAGGCTTCACCTATATTACATTGTAGACTATCCATAATTTAGAGGTTTTAGTATTGGGAAAGGTTTCTATATTTCCCTTACTGTATAAAAGGTATATACTGCCCCCATCTAGCCGATCAATTTAGATCAAGCGAGCCACTGTTTGATCTAGATCCAATGCCTCAGAATATTTTATTTTTTATTTTTCTATAAACTATATGAAAATGAAAGTTACTACATGGCATCATCTCAATGGGGTGCACCTAAAAAAAATATCAAAAAATATTTTCAACAAAAATACCTCTGAAACTTTCAGGGGCATTTTGGTCATTGTATTTTATTGGGAATATTTTTTTATATTTTTTACAAGTGAGAGTTTAATATTTTGGGTGTCAAAATGTTTTGTAGAAAAAAGTTAAACATAAAATAGTACAGAGGCATGACATTGTGCTTGGGGTCATGTCAGCCATCCATTTAGAATGGAGTCAATGGACCTTTGGATAGAGGGAAGTTTATAAGTTTTATACAGTAGGGGAAGTATAGAAGCTTGCCTTTTTAGTATATTGCATTAAACTTAAAAGAAGATTCTTGGTTCTCTGATAGTTATACCCCAATATATAACAAATTCCTTGCTATGTGCAGGCAGTTTGGTTTGCATGCGGAACAATGTGGAGCTTTAGACTTCGGACCCTTTAACATTGTGGAAATTATTGCAAGAGAGCCCTTTCATTTCCTACAGTTTTTTTGCATCACCTCGGCCATCAGATGTCAACTATGAATTGTCCTCCGCTCAAAGTCACAGACATTGTGGGGAGGAGTGGTACAATCACCACTGTCCTTGTTGACATCATCTGATTGCTTGATTGATGATAAAAAACTATAGGAAACAAAAATGTACGTAACGTTTGCAACCCCTAATATTATTTAGGCAGGTTAATTTGATATTTTATGAGGAACACAATTCAAGGTTCAAACCACCAGTAACAATGAAACTACCCTTTGTTTGGAACCTACCTGCTCACTACGAAGTAAACCGAGTCAGTCTTGGCTTGAATGGCAGTTTTGGTAAAACCCAACTTATCAGCTGGCCAAAGTTCATCCCCGAAGAAGCTGCTTGTGTACAGTACTTGGTCACCAACTTTTAAACCAGATTTTGCTGCATTCCCACCTTTTTCAATCCCCTAAAATGAAGAAAACAAGCCAATTTATACTTTTGCTTAAATAAAGAAATTATGCTAGTTGTAGCTACTAGGAGAAGCATAACTCAATTGGGAGGCACTTCTTCTTGTAACCTTGAGGTTGTGTTCAATGAACTCATCTCACAATCAAGACAAAGGAAACTCCATGTTGCTAAGTGCTAATAAAACCAAGTGTCAAATTTTAATTTTGATAATATGTTTTCTAGTATTATTAGTGGGAAATTTTTGAATTAGATATGAATATAAATTTTAGTCAATAATTTATAGAAACTATGAGCATAAATTTACATAAATTTATGGAAATTGACCCTTTTATCTGTAAATAACCAAGCGTAGGGACATATGTGATTCAAGCCGTGCAGCACGTTAAAGAAAGAGAAAGTTTTGGACAGGGTATCTATTGCAGGGGACTATAAAGTGGGAGTCCAGGGTAGCCTCCCTTCAGACACAGTCCAATCTCTATCCTTCCTATAATAAATACTGGTAATTAAAGTGGAAATATGTAACATGAAATCCAATCGGAAAAAGAAACTATCTGATAAATACTATATCCAATGTATATACAAATAACTAGGGATTCTCTCCTAATAACTTCAAGGTAAATCTAATCCGAGAATCCTAAATTTTATGGAGTTTGTTTTTGTGAACAAGAAAGCATTTTTATAGGTGTTTACCATCTTGAGAATGTAATTATAATTCGCAAGTATTGAAGGAAATGGCCAATATGAAAACAAGAAAACAAAACATTATGCTGCATGCAGACTCGACCATTTGTTATCGGCAATGGCTGGCCAAGATGGTCGTCACTCATCTAACTGAGCAGATATAGACATAACTGGCCAAGATGGTCCTCACTCAAATTTCCACTGATGAACAAACCCCAAATAAACAAATTTAATAAGTATCACAATTAGCAAATGAACAAATGTAATAAGCAACCAAATATATCTGAACAATTGAAAAGGAAGTAGCTGAATTAAAGACAGACACAGAAAAATAGCAACCCACAAAACTAAAAAATTATAGAAAAGCTTACTGCGATGACAACTCCACCACCTGGTTTCTGGCCTAATGTGAGGCCCAAAGGCTTGTCCACCTCTACTTCTATGCTCTTTGAAGCACCAGCTGTTTTTGCACTGATTTCAAGGCTTTTATACACCCTCCCCTTTGAAAGCCTCTTTAACTGATTGTTGGGAAAACCACTTTTGGCTTCTAACAATGGCAATCCATAGAAGGTGGTTTTCTATTCAAAATTGAAGCCAGAATCCGTTATTTCATCAAATTTCCTAACAATATCTGTGGTTTCATGTGCAATTTGAAAAAACAATCGGTGGGTATTTATCCTTCTTTCTTGGAATATGTTGCAACAATGTCAATCAAAAGAAAAAAAACGTGTGGAACTTTAGATGGGTTTATTCACATTTTGCTCTTTTTGGGTTATTTGGTACCTGGTTTTGTGCTGAACTGATAGGAAGTATTGAGAGTGGTTTTGAAGAATGTTGGGTGGTTTTGAGTGGCTGCCTTGAGATTGGGTAGGTTGAAGTTGCAGAGGCCCCTGCAACAGCTGACATTTTTTGCGGTCTTTTTTCACTCACATAGCCAAGGAAAAGCCCAACACAGGATAGGCTTTTCCTATAGGATAAGAGATCCACAGTGGATAATGAAAAAGAACAGGGACCACAAATATTCATTGACATGCATTTTTTTTACTTGGTTTGCTCAATTTCTCACTCGTGGCCAGGCTTACACTTCTATTATTCCATTGGACAAAATTAGGGCTGGCAATGGGCCGGGCGGGTCGGCCCTAAAGAAGTAGGACTTGGGCCACAAATTGTGGCTTCAGGGCCGAGCTAAGGCCAGTCCTAGCTGGGCTCAGCCCGACCCAACCTGGCCTTTCCCTCTTTTCTTTTCTTGTTCTATTTTTTATTTTTTCATCATTTTTTTTGGCAGGCCTGACCCTCCTAAGCCCAAAAAAGCTAGCGCTGGGCTTGGGCCTGGCGAAGGGCTAGTGCCAGCCCGTTGCCAACCGTAGATAAAATAGCTACTAGGGGAGAATTTTTTGGGTGGGAAATTTCTTATCCACTTGAGAGTCGCCCCTTGATCATCTTTAAAATAAAAAGTTTGGACCTTGAGTTTTATAACTTTAAACATTCACTTTTAGTATGTGATTCTTTTTAGTGTCACAAATATGGTATTTGGATGGTTCTAAGTAGTTGTGACCACGTTGTATCAAAAGCAAATGGTCTCATTGTATATAATCCATATTAATATATTCGGGATAATATTATCTTATTCATTATTTGATACGTATTTTGTAATTTTTATATTATTAAAATATTTCACTTTCACTTTTAATTATTTCTCTATATTTTTAGTTACCAATAACATGTAATTTCAACAAATTACTTTAAATAAAATAACAATTATTTTTTAAAACTAAACTTAGATGTAAAATTACATATAAATTTATCTCAAATAACCTTATGATGGACACAACTAGATACATACATCTCATCATCAAGATTAACTTTATTGGAACAGTGAATTATCAACGATAGTGAATGCTTCCTAACAGACCCATAATAAATACATTTTTTTCGGATACATGAATGCTATTCCTCCATTGATCTCTATAAAGGGTTTAAAAAACAAAGTCATTTTTTGAATACTATTAGGTCTTGATCTTAGAAAAAGAGCCCGGGCTTCATTCGTTAGCGCTTGACGATTTGCAACGTTAGGTCTTAAACTCAATTCCTACCAAGGGTAGAGGCCCTCTCCCCCACTGACTCACCCAAAAATTAGGTCTTGATCTTTTGATATGTTTTTTTAAGGTAACATATGTGCCCAACAGTGCAAACAATGGCAGAGTCACAATATTTGTGCATGCATGACAAACACTAGCAATACCTAGTTCTTTTTTTTTCTTTTGGAAGTTCAAGAAGACGGGGAAGGCGACCTCCCAGAGACTTAACAAAGCTAAAAAATATATTATAAATTCTTGATTTTGCTTTATAAAGCCAAACATAGTTAAAATATATTATAAAACTTTAACTTTACATTAAAAATTATAAACATAGCCAAACATTTGGTATTCTCAAATCTGCCTTATAAATTGCAGAAAAGCCAAACGTAGTAAAAAAAAAAATTATAAACTTTCAGATTTACATTATATATTAAAAATATAGCAAAATATATATTATAATCTAAAACATGGAAAAACCTAAAAAAAATTAAAAACAAAAAGCTACCCATGAAATTTCACATAAACGTAAAGCCAAACTTTAAAAAGAAAATTGTTTGGTGGGCTGGACCGCATTTTTACATATACGGTCTAGACAGTGTAAAGCATCCATCTAAAAATGGATGCAAGTAGGTGTTTCATCTAAAAACAATAGAAAACTAATGGTCC